ATTGTTTTTGGTCATCTGTAACCATTATCAATGACAAGGTTTTATATGGTTATCGATAACCATTATAGATAATTTAAAGCGAACATTGTATAATGAAAATCTTTTTCATCTTGATTTCGAGCATCTTTAATAACATTACTGAACAATTCATGTTTCATTCTACTTAAAACGATAGCTAACGATTTCATTAAAGATATACAAAACCTAGTCAAACACTGATTTAAAAAGGTGAATAAACGTTGTGTATAAAAAGATATTGTAAAACAGTTTAGAGAAAATGGCTTGGCACGACAAAGTACTTCGATCACCGGTCAATGAAACGTTGCTATCGGAACGCAATCTTGCCAAAAGGAGATTTCCAGAGTTATTTCCAGGTTTGGAATAATTTCATCGCTTCTTATACATTTCCATACTTTCTCAACGCCTGAGCAATAACGCGACAATTCTTTCACAGCGAAAGTCAACAGAGTGTATTTAAAAAGATATCCACCGACAGATGAGAACAGCGATTACATATCCGCTGTTTATGTGGACGGTGTAAGATTACAGAATCAGTATATAGCTACGCAACTACCATTGCCTGGGACATTTAGCGATTTCTGGAGAATGGTGGCCGAGTATAAGGTGGAGCTAATCGTCATGTTACAATCGCCAGATTTGGAAGATACGGTATACTATCGAACCGCTAAAAAGGCACAGGCAATTAGTCAGAAGTTATATTAAAATTAACTCTTTTATAGACGTGCTGTCCCATTGTTAGAAACGGTGAATTTAAACCAGTACCATATATAAACATTCGAACGAAGGAACTCGATGAATTTGAGCACTATATATTGCAGAAGTTAACACTCGTCGATAATTCGGAGGTGAGTTACGCTATTGTTTTTAAAATCTTCTATCTATCAACTAATTATCAACAGATAATTTCTTCACGCCATTTTCGCTTTCTTCTCGTTCGATTTATAATAATTGCACATTATTTCATAACAGCCCATGGTTATTATAAATAAAGAGATACTAGGTAGGATACTTAAGTAGAACGGTATAGCACTCGTCTGAAGCGAAACGTATCAACTTGTACATTATTTCATTCAGAAACCTACTATCGAACAAGAGATAACAATCTTGTGTTCCACGGAATGGCAACCTGGCAGAAACCAAGACCCACCTGAAACCATAGCGTTAGTGACATTGTGGCAAGCAATGCAAAAAATGTTAAAAGGAGACGGACCTATCGCTGTTCTTTGCCAGTAAGGCTATGTCGAAACTTCATAAATATCTTTATACACATATGTCGATTATCGTTTATTATGTCGAATCTATTTGAAATTAGCGACGGCGTAACTGGCTGTGGGCTTTACCTAGCCTTAAGTTTCCTTTTGGAGAGAATGACTATAGAAAAGGAATGCGACGTTTGTTTGGCAATTCGCGCGATTGAAACATTGAACCCCGATTTTATCAAATCTTCGGTAAATTTATTAAAAAATGACTAAAGATTACTATCTCTAGATGATGTTAAGATTGCAATGGTATACAATGTATATTTTTGTTCTAGGAACATATTAAATACCTGTATGATGCAGCCACGGTATATTTAAAGTACTTGGAAACCAATGTGAAGCGTGAATAGCCTTACCATTTAATCGAACACAGTAGATTCGATTTGTTACATAAATCAACTCGAGTAACTTCTACAAGTCGTAACCGCTTTCCTAACATGTGTATCGTTCAAACTATAAATTACATCATTGTGTAATTACTTACTACTAAAAAGTCCTGTCTTTTAATTTTCACATTTTCACATACTTTAGTGTCCAAGGCAAACGACTTTCGTTCTTACGAATGCTATCATGATACATCATAATATACATCAGTATCAATGACTTCGTCATAAAATGATTTCTTCCATGCAGCAAATTACATATATCCTTTATTCAAAGAAGCATTTTCCTCTCGTTAAATAATCGCGATAAAATAATCGTAATTAATAAAAGTTCGACGGATATATTAAAACATCGATCTCAACAAACGTTTACAGAGAAAAAGATGACTGACAATTATTGAAAATGTACTTACAAAATTCGAGGAGTGAGAGTCACCTTTCACTAGGGGCCATTAATCTGCTTGAATTAGCATCGTGTGCAAAATATAATGGTGACGCCATTATACACGTTTTCGCGCCAAATTTCAGCTAGTCGAAACGTTCCGTTCCCGCCGATATTATAACACCGCCAGGTATAACATTCGAACTGAACGATAAAATAACAATCTCATAGTTTCTTTTCTATTTCAAATGCCACATACATGGCGAATTCGATCAAATTAAAGTTTAATAATGCAAATTTCGATTTTGACACTATGTAGAATATAACGTAAATAGAAGGCTATGGTAGAGACAACTTACATTTTACTCTGAATTCATTGATCTTGTGACAGGATTAGGAAAACTTATTCATTGTCTGGCTTGTCTTGATGATAGTATCAGGTAAACGGTACGGAATATCGTAGAGAGAATGGAAAAATGTGAAAAAAAGGAGAAAGAAAATACGGAACGTGGTGTGGTCGTGCTTCCCTTCCTCCAGTCGGCAGCTTACACGAATGGCCGACAGAGGGTGCGCCAGTAGCGCCGATAACTCGTACTCACGAAAGGTATACGTCGCGCTGCTGTAAACGTCGATCTCCGCGGATATCTTCACGTGCGTTCTGTGCTATTTATGTGTCGTTGTCTGAGTGTAAAGCATCGAGAGGTGTGCAAGGTGTGGCTAACAGAGATTTACCGGTTTATCGTTCCCGGAAAGAACCAGGCCGAAAGCAGTCGTTGGAACGTGTACTCTCACAGCAGCAGGTAAGAGATTTTCATCGTTTTTCAGTGGTGGTCGTGTAAATAATGTACGCGTGTGCTCGTTTATCATGATCGTGTCGCTCTTTTGGTAATACGTCTCATCTTTCTCGATCAACTCGATTTGTTTTGTTTGACAAGCGCGAAAGATGCGGAGCACGCGTGTCATGTCTCGATTCAAGGCCAGGGAGGACATATTGGCACGTGAACAGAACCCATTAAAAAATAGACCTCCCCGACCGAACGAAATCGCGACGTTTAAATCGACCATAAGTTGCTTTACAAGATCGCGTTAATTAAGTGGCCGTCTCATTCGTCCAGTGCATTCGCCTAGCGAGTTTACGTTTGCGTGTGCTGCGTCACTCGAGCTTGCTTGTTGTTCCTTTTACGTTATATAAGGAACACGCTTTGCACGAATGTGCCACCACCATCTTTGTTGACGTAACGAAGCGCGAAATTTAACTTATTTCTGTCGCCGACGAATACAACGCACACCACGAACACGATCTCCAAATCGTCTAAACTTTGAATATTCTTTGATTTCTCTTGCTTTCTATACATTCGTTCAAAATAGTTTCTGTGGAAGGAGACTATCGAGATAACGAATTAAATGAAATTCTTACATAACGTCTGGTTATAAGTTACATATTCGTATGTATATATTATTCTTTCAACGTTTCAATAAAGCTCGCGTCGCGTTCTTTCACCGAGATGCATAATAAAATTATCAGTCGTCTAATGATCATCTTTAACAATAACCTCGTATTCGCGACACGCTATTACGCTATGAACGTTTTATAATTTAATCTGTCCTGTCCACTCATTTATCCATTCACAGAACATCCGACCATGGCATATTTTCCTCCCGCTGGTCGGTTAATACGCTTTAAGATGTGACTTCCCAAGTAGCATTGTCGAATCACGTTTTCGATACTGATGTAACTCGTTTACCGACCATGAACATATATTTATGTCGTATCAATTAAGATTTCCCATCGATGTGATTTAAACTTTGTTCGGACAAAAGAGATTGCATTTCCAATGGGTCTTTCATCGAGTACCGTCTCGTCTCGAGACCTATTTTACACGATATCTTGTCCGCCTGATAAAACGACACGATCCAAGGCGTTAACAAATGAAGATCACAGGAAAAAACTTGATAAGTACGTTCTTGTTCATTTTTTTATTTTAATTTCATCCTACGACTGTAAAGAATCTGCTGCTAGATGCAAAGGTGGAAACTTTTTCAAAATAACTGGTGGACTAATTTATTAATTATAAACTAATTGTAAACTTTTTATTAAAAATCAAAGGTGTTAAGAATTTTAATATCTTTGGTATTTTATCACTGCTACATATTTAAAATTACGAACAGGATAGAAAAACATATGTGCAGCCTCGAAGCCGAATAGGAAAATAATTTTGATAGCACGAGATTGGATTTCAGAGATGATTTCTTATAAAGGATGGAAAATATGACTTATCGTGTTCTTCGCCTGTACTCTTCAAACATTTTCCCGACTTGTCCTTCTCGTTTTTGTCAGTCTCTCTCATAGTTTTATATCATTGTCCAACCCCCGTGGCAAATTCATGGATATTCCAAATAATTTGTTGGTCGTTCGATGGCCCAAACTGACGATTCGTGCCAGCAGTCATTGGACATGTCCACGAAAATCAGGCAACTATCGTACGATTTCACGACGGTCTCTCGTTACCGTTCCATCCGCAGGTTTCACGTTTAAACTGGCAAGCGATCGTCGCAGGATCGGGATGGCGTGGCAACAAAGACCTTATTCCTTCTGTTCGCGGATCGACGTCGTACAATTGCGTCTAACTCCGACAATCGATCCGACCGTGGCCCAACTTGACAGCAATTTAAAATCGCTTCTCCTCCTGTGAGCCGTACCAAGTGCACCGCCACAAACTATCATTCTCCCACGAGACGTTGTAAATCTTCTTCCGCTTCTTTTACCAGGCGTTATTATGCGGACGCGTTGCTACGTCTAATCATAGAATAAAAGAATAAGTAGTCGAATAAAGCTTGAAACACACGAAACAGACGATTTATCGGAAAAAAAAGAACACCGAAGATATAGAATTCGAAAAAAACATCGATGAAGATGAACCGACGAAAAGTGAAAGCACCATCTTTTCAGGAGAAATGGCGATCTCTTCGCCGAAATGCGCCAAGGGCAGCGAAATGGAAACGACGACAAGAAGTTGGATAGCGAGACCGATTTTAAACCACGACTTCATTGCTGATCTACCTCTTGAGCTTGTCTACGTGGGTTTACTTAAAAGGAAAGAGGACATCTCGATCGCGATTAAGAGTATCTCTTCCGTTCTGCCAGGTTTCCATCATCTGAAACGTTGCTCCTCAAACAAGTTGCTGTTGGCGCCGGTAGACTCTAGAAAATTGTTAGCGGAAACGAAAGACTGCAAGGAATCCAAGGAAGAATTTACTTTGACTCAAGACAAACTGAAAATGATATTAACGGAAAGAGGATTTAACTTATCCTTATTGGAAGATGACTTTCATACAGCGAAAGTGCCAGCGAGAGCAGCCAAAACGAAAGCACAAGCTGCGCGGGCCTCGAGCATTTGGCCTTTGAACTTTCATCCAGATCCTAACATCGAACGACTGGTCGATGGATCGATTTTCACGGAACATCAATTGGTTCTTATAGAGAGGTACATGAACGTTGTGGTAGAGGCAGCCAGATTAGAAGCTGTCGGCGACTCGAATTGTAACGGCAGCGCGATGATCGTTGACCCAGTGGATGGAAGAATCCTTGCGGTCGCAGCCTCGAAAATCGATCGGCATCCAATGTGGCACGCAGCTATGTTGGCCGTAGATCTCGTTGCCAGACTTCAAGGTGGAGGAGCTTGGAAATTCGAGGGAAGATTGGAACAGAAGGGTACCGATGATTCGGAAACTTCTGAATCTTCCGCCAACAGAAACGCAGAAAATAAAATGACCAAGGAAATGAGAATCAAAAGGAAATATGTCGAAGAAGCTCCGCTTTGCTATCCGGAAACGCTATCGAAAATTAGCCTTCCAAAGGAAGAATGTTTGCAATCTACTGAAATTCGACGAGGACGCAGGAATAACGGTTCAACGAAAACGATGGATTTTAGGACAGTCGAGCAGACTGAAGCAGCAGACACGAAAAAATGTGGTCCTTATTTATGTACAGGATACTGGACCTTCTTGTTAAGGGAGCCGTGTCCTCTTTGCGCTATGGCACTCTTGCACTCTAGGGTTTTAAGAATATTCTACGGTGTCCCGAATAGAAATACAGGCGTGTTAGGGTCCAAGACGGTCTTACATGCTGTACCAGGGTTGAATCATCGATATCAAGTTTGGAGTGGCGTTCTGGAACAAGAATGTCGACAAGCGTTGCAAGAAATCGAGCACAGAAATATGAATTGACTCACACGGCGTATTCGTAATGATTAATGGCTATTTTCTAGCAAGCTATGATTCGCGGAACCATTTAACATTGTCGCTCTGTTACAGACATTTTGTACGTTTGAAGAATTAAAAACATTGAAGGAAATCCTGCACGTGTTTCGATACGATCCACCATGTACGATCATGATTTTTGTAACCTTTGGCAATGACGTTGACGAAAGATCTCTATCCTTGGCACTGTCTCGAAGTAAGTTAGTAGAGTCGTGATGCAGTGATATCAATGTACCAACCGGTTTATAATTTCAATCAAAAGCAGACGACGCAGAAGATCTTACACGTGGTTCGGACGTGCGTTCGTCCATTATGAGGCAGATATATGTATGACCTTGGTGTCTTAGTATAATTTGCAGGAACAGAGGTCTCTACTCGTGGTTGATACTAGACTCCTTCGTCTATTCGACGAGTTAATACTTACGTCTGTTATACAATCACATGTTCCTAACCGAACAATCGTAAAAGTCGTTCTTTTTTTTCCAATACATCCGCGTCGCTCGAATTAAACCTGATTAAATATCACGATGATTTCCAGCCGATGAATATAGAAACAACGTTGATGATTTTTTTGCATCTCTTATGTTCAGCTTTTACAGATCGTACGAGCGATAAATTTAGTATTCATAAGTGAACAATTACTTAGAGACAAGAATATTTACCTCGAAAAGCACGATACATGTTCATTGATTAAGACGATTCTGTTTAGCGCATTACGTCATGTTTGAAAAAAAAAAATAAATTATCCACAGCTTCAGGGAACTATTTTAAACTTCAAATCAAAATTATTGAGATAAATTACCACGGTATGCGCATTCCCTTGATCGCTTGCATAAGTGATCCTAGAAAGACGTTGAAAATAATTCCGTCGTCGACGCAAGTCTATTATTTCATATAGAGCGAATAGTTTGCCTGACGAACGAACAATCTTGTTCGTTGAAGGAGCGAAATACACTTCACGGTAGCAAGAGACAAGGTCGCGAAGTAATTCACCGTCGGTGGTCGTTGATCTCGTAGGATCGGTCGAAACGTCGTCATAAGTTCCTCAGAGAGTTCCTTGCCGCAGTCGTGCGGATCACTCGGGCTTGACGTGCTAGTGTCGTTGATACGACGATACTCGTAGTTCTGCGGAGCTTTCCTGCACAAGACACGCACCGTTTAATTTGTGTGGAACCGAGTAGCGCGTATAACAATGACCTCGCGGATTAACTTCAATCAGCGAAACTTCAGACGTCTAACCCCGTTGAGCTGGCCAGCTTTGCTGAACGGATGTACGTGCAAAGATGCGGAGAACAACGTGGAAGACGCTTAGGAGAAAATGATGGTACAGAAAATTAGGAAACATGACGATTCGTTTGTCAGTCGACGAGCAGGATGAGTGGCGCTTCAACGTAACTTGGCTGGCTGCTGTGCTTTCCACGAAAAGCTATCGGTGTGCAAGATTTCGTCGTGTAAATCAGAATTAAGCTAAATAGCGATAAACGAGACACTGTTAGTATATCTTTCGATAAAAGTGAATTTCCTTTCTTTTTCTTTTTTTTTCTTTTTCTTTTTTTTTTTTAATGATTGGAAAATACCGATCTCGTGTGTTCAGCGTATTCGATCGTGTACAGAGTTGACGTTTATGGAAAGTTTCCTAGACGACTCGGCCAACACCTGTTCCGTGGACGTATATTGATTTTGTTGTTTCAGGTTCTACTTCTACGATATTAGTTTATCTCGTCGATTTTCTGGGACGAAGCTTAGCGGCACTCTGAACAACCTGAAAGTTTAAGGATTGCTGGCACAGATCAGTCTGGAAGCTCGTTCGACGTAAAGGAAACACTCTGATAAATCATCTTCGTCTAATTCTACAGAATCTCTATGCAAACACATTTTCGCGTAACTACAAGAAGCTCTAATAACGATTAACAGTTGTTCCACGTTCTTCGTTGCACCGGCTGGCACGTGGCTTTGATAACGTTACCCGGAAGCGCATCGACATCCTCTCGTCACTCGATCAACCTGTGATTGATTTAAGAAAAAAAAGAAAGAGAGAGATACGATTTGCGTTCCTACGATCTCGTTGGAAGTTTCGAAACGAAAACACACTTCGTCCAAAGACAGAGATAACATCTCGTGAAATAATTAATCCACGTGGCAAACAGTCATCTTTTACGACGCAACTGCTCGTCAAATCGATGTAAACGTCGTCATCGTCATCTGAAATAGCAGCGAAACTCGAGAGTCACCGTGGAGAAAGTTTGGCCCGGGATTATTCGATTACAAAAAAGTTGGACGATATTCGCTCGTCAAATAGAAAAAGCAGAATAGGTCAGGTATTAATCGAAATTCGAATTCGCTACGTGACCAAATACGGGACGATTTTACGAGGTAAACCAAGTCACATTTTGCTCATCAGCACTGAGTGGTTCCAATTGACGGTCGGGTCGACCCTCCAGCGTAGACACTATTGGTCAGCCTTTTAATACCGGCGGTCGCGATTGGATCAGATACCCAGATCGTTCTTAGACAGAAGACATCGCTGGAGCATTCGCTTCAAAACTTTTAACGTCGTCAGTGTCGCGCAATTTGCTGTCCGTTGACGTTCGCAAGGGTAGAGATCCGAGAGACATTCGCGCGTTCAGTTTGTTTCAGTCGATTTAAGTCGGTCAACGGGTAGCAGCGAGCCTCATAAAGATAATCAAGCAGAAGAATACGACAGCGGCAATTGTATCAGGAAATTGAGGCATTTGGCCTGCATCGCAACCGATTTCAAAATAAGACTCGTTTATCGCCGATATTATCAGTGGAAATCGGACATCGATATTTTCGAAAAGAAGAACGAGCTAGCCAGACGAGTATAGTTTTGAATTTTGATAACGCGCGATAAACGTATCTCGAACGATATCCGAAGTCTCGTTCGCCAGTTGAATGGCTCAAATTTACTGGCTCTTGCTCTTCGAAAGATCTTGATCGTTAGCATTTATCATCAAGAGATAGCGAAGCGAAACATTCGGAAGAAAGAAAGAGGAGTTAATCCGTAGGGAAGATTCGTGTTCTTAGTATCCAACGAAGAAGACGTTGCGGGGTGAATTGTTGGAAAGAATCGTCCTTGGCCGAGTGGAAAGGACTTTGAGAAAGGTCGAGAAACGAAACACATTCGATTTGGTCTTACGCCACGAAGCCTCGTCTTTTTCTTCCGGATCAAGTTTATCTTTCCGTCGGCATCATGGAACGAAGGATCCTGAAAATGTGGTGACGACGTGATAGGCGAAGGCCTTCGATTATCGAGACACTATCAAGTGGTGTGAGCCATAGTCGTTAGAAAGCAAACCGAAATATATTTTACGTGTCCGGTGACACTCGCTAAGAGCGACGATCGTTTTTAACGTATCAATACGAAACGAATTCTCATTGAAGATAAAACAAAACGAAATTTCTGCCAGAAAAGCAACTCCTGATTTGCGTTCTATTTTATCGAACTGTAGAAAGTGTCGGTCGAACGTACAGTTTGCAATTCGTACAACTTTTCCATATCGAAGAACCGAGGATACGTTGGACGAGAGGAAAAGAAAGAGAGTAGCTAGCAGACTGTCTTTTCGCGAGACTTTAAAATTCTCAAGGAAAATAATAACAAGATGCGTTGCAGCCAAGGTGTGGCGATGGTATTCGAGGACGCGTTCGTCGTCTTTTCGCGGTTTCTGTCCCTCAAGTCGCGGGGTTGCGCACTCTTGGAAACGCACCGGCAACGCGAGACAACTGGCATCAAGAAATTGTACAACAGCTTCTTCGTAATGTTCTAAGGATAGCTCTATCTCGAGGAAGTTCGGCCCTTCATTGACGGTGGTCGAGTGATGCACCGTGCACTTCCGAGATCATTGTCGATCTGGAAGGAAAATACGCGGAGGACGCAGAAAAAAGGAGGACGTTTTGGTGAAACGAAAGAATCCGAAAGATCAAGTGGAACGAGGGAAACGAACCGACGAAAGAACAAAAACTGGGAAACCTATCAGCCGCAGAATGTACGTTAGCGCTTAGAAAAGTCGAGCGACAGAGGTGCCCGAGTCCTTGTTGATCCCAAAAAATTTCAGCGTGGATGATCGTTCATGTTCTAACTAAACTCGGACTTATAGTCTTCTCTTCGAATAATAGGCGACCAAAGCGTTCTCCAAAGAATCTCTGAGCACTCGAACAGTAAGGGCGAATAGAATCGTGATTAGAAAGAAAACAATCGATAAAGGTAGTGTTACCCTGAGAAACAAACCCTGGTAGGAGTGTTTCGAGATTTAGGGTCGTTGGATGGAGCTGGAATTCATCATGGACGGCGGTGCAGATGCTTTGAACGGGACGATATGGTTTCCCAATACACCGTCGCCTCCGTACGAACAGCTGTCCCCGGTTCGTCAGAACAGGTGCGACCCCATCGCCACTCAGCATGTAAGTTTCACGATGTTCCTTATAATAATGGTATCATCTTGTTGGTACTCGCGTTGAACGCGACGCTTCACGACGCTCGTTTTCATTAACTTGGCGAGAGGGCAAAAACGTCCTCCGTATTTCCAACACGCGCGTTAACCATATCAGTCAATTTTTCTTCTTCGTTTTCGTTCATCGCGCTCTCGTTGAACACGCGATAGGGCCGATTCTATTCGCGCAACTAGCAGTTTGAGAATCGCGTCTCGGTCACGTCGTCGTGGCTGTTCGAGCGAAATCCGTGAAGCTCCGCGCGATTCATCCCGTGAACTGACGATGATCAAACGTTTTATAGGCGTCAATGGGATATCACAGTCCACAAAATTCTTTATGGCAGGATAAATACAACTCACCGAAGGATTCCCCGGAGGACAGTGTCCAGATACGTTCGAGCAGCGAATCACCCCAACATCTCAGCCCGTCTTCCGACAATTCCCCCAATTGCCAGCAGAGCAGCCTGAAACGTCGAGCCGGGGAGCCGTTGCCACAAATTACGGAACTCGAGAAGAAACATGCTAGGAGAGATGGTTAGTACATGTACATGAAGTATTCAGTAATCGTGGATTGTATAGCAACTACGAAACTTATCGATTTAAGCATTTAAGAACGCACAATAGGTTAGAGTTCACCGAGCGATCGACTGAGACTGATTAGAAAATTGTGCAACAAGTGGCAAGATAAATAAATTTCTCCGTGTACTCGTATCTCGGAGATGAGTATACGTAGAAAAAAAAATTCGCTCCATAGATTTTCCAAGTAGTTCCTCTATTTTTTGGTGTTCGTTCGAGTCTTTGAATGCACCAGCGTCGTTGCTATCATACAGTTCTCAATATAGACATATCATTCGAAAGGTCGTGTCGAGGACCTCGGATACACAGTCGTAGGCACTGGCGATTCTAAGTTCTTATCCCGCTCAATTCAGTCACGTATCTACGGTGTTAGATGCTTTAAATTATCCGCCACCAAGTACAATTATAAAGTCTATGTACTTAAAGAGAACACCAACGATCCGTGGTTTAGAAAGATTCCATTTGCTATGCAAAAATTGTCGTATAACGTTGCGCTTCACCGAACAAGATTCTGTCATTAGAAGCTGCCGAATTACCAACGTCGCTTCGTAACAGTTCTAGTCAAATTGCGAAACCGAACGTGCTACGTCTTCGTTCAACTTGTGTCCACGAAGGATCCTCGTCTTCTTGTGGCGGAACGTCCAAGTTCGTGGTTGTATATCGGAGCAGATACTGCTTCGGAGAACGTCTCGAAACTGATTCACTAAAAGTGTCGTTCCGCGTTTATTCGACGCCTTTTCGACCACGTGGTCACAGAAACTGTGATAACTCCAGAGTACACAGTGTATCGCTGATTAAGTCCGAGGAAAGAAAGAGGAGAAGCTGATACTAGTTCTCCATCCGAGAGAAACTACGCGAAGGTACATGCGCATCGTTTTTATTTCGGTGGTGTCGCTACAAGTGTGCTAGCTCCGGTTCATCCCCTCGTAGAAAGATAGAATGAAGTGGTGTGAAGTCGACAGCGCCAGGTTGCCATTATTGCATAGTCGACGATATCCTGCCATAAGTTCCAAGAGTCGGCGACGAAACGCAGTCATGGCCCTCCAGGAGACCAAGTCTAGGATTGGCGCCATGCATCATCAGTTTTACATCAATTACGCTAATGCACAAGGTTGTACGCTATACATCGGTGTGATAAAATTAGGGAAAATATGATGTTGCATTTAGAGAAGAACATTGGTCTTGCCACAATAAAATACAGGGTTGTTTTCGTCTGTTTTGCCTGTATATCGTATATTCGTTTATTTCATATTTGTAATTCGTATTTCCAGGATCTGTTGGGAACAATGGTCCTGGACAAGGATGGTCAACCCAAGTGGAGGAGCTGGCAGAACATCTTGCCGCCGATTTCGATGGATCTCTGTCGGCACTTGCGGCCTCCGACCTCGCGACAGCTGTCGCCTCCTATAACATGAGGTAAATAGAATTTTCTTCCTCCGAAGCGGTTTTATCGGAAGAGGTCAGAGTGATAAAAGTGAACTTCGATTAAACGAAGGTGAGTAGTAGAGAAGGAATGGAACAAAGCGTCGTCGTTTCTTTCAAATTAGTTCTACAGTAGGAAACGGCTCGACGATCTTTCTGTATAGTCGTCCACCATGCAGAACTCTATCTTTTTAGTTGAAAAAAGCAGAAGTTACTTGGATCTTTATTAAAGTTCGATCGATGGTCGATCACGAAGAATTTGTTACAATATGAGCGAAGAAGTTTAAAGCCGATAAAGTAGGTTTCCGTGGAGAACCTATGTGCAGTGCACGTTGCAGGAATGGATCGAATCTCGATTAAAACGTAGTCGGTAGTGGGAACTAGAACGTGGAGTCAGAAATCCGGTTAAAACCAGACACAGTTGTCGGTGTTTCGAGGCTTGAACAACCATACGCTGGGAAATCACACCGGCCGCAGATGCTTAGACGCTTTGCGAGTGTCCGCGCGTACAGGCACGTGCGTTTCCGTCCCGAAACCAATTGTAGCAACCTGTCAGAATTTTCGTGTCACGTCAAGTGAAATCAATTGAAGACTTTTCTTCGTTCAACAATTTTCTCCATTTGCGATCTATTCGCCGTTTTTAATTCGCTACTTATTTCACTAAACGTAATTAGAAACGCGTTTTGCAACGAACTCTAGATAATTTTCTTCGTACATGTTTAATTAATAAATTATAGATGACATGTTATAAATTATAGTCACATGTTCGTTCATCAAGGTTCAGCAAGTTTCAAATCACAGTAGGATACTCGAGGAACCGAACTTCCGTACAATCTGCGTGAAAGATAAAATGTAATAACAGGAAGTAGTGGACGAACGAATGATTCAACCATTTGGAACTTTCGATGTTAGATAATACACATTAAACGCACTTACCAACGTTTGTGCGAGAAGCAGCCCAGACGACTCTTAAGAATCAGCTGACAGACCTGCTTTACACGTGGTACCTTCCTCGTTGTCGTTATAACACATCTAGACGATTTTTCGGAGAATCATGAATGAAAACTTGTAGAGAACGGTTATCTTCTGCTGTAAGTCTAAATAGGACTGATCCGTGGAATTGTTCACGAGCGCAGAACCAGCATTTTTTTATTATTTTTCTATCTAGGATATAGTGTAAAAGTATAAGTGACTCTGAACATGGTTTACAGTTTATATAAGATCTATGTCAAAAAGAAAAGTAACTCCTTAACATAATTAAGAAATGTTTAAGAGAAAATAAATTAGTGTAGATAAAGGAACTAAACGGTGTTTGTGGAATCGTTGAATATATACAAAGGAAAGAAATTGAGCTCGAGTTCCGAGAACCGGAAACATGCATCAGTACTTGAAAAGTAGGTGAGTGATTAAAGTAAGATTATTAAATAAAACATTTTTTATTCATTTATTACTCGTGGTCCTGTTTGCTCTGCGGCTTAAGGACGACTTCTTTGTTGTTTCTTACAATCAGTTAAGTCCCCTTATTCCACTGATTTTGTATTCGTCAACAAAAACGATAAGAAGCTTGTTGTGGCCTTGTTTACAGCATCTATAACGTATTAGTAAATTAAATTAAAGTATTAAGCGAGATCAGTAATGTCAAATTTATTTTAGTAATTACACCAAATTTGTTCGACTAATTTGTATTTTCGGTGGTACTTTATCGCGATACTACACTGTGGTTGATATTAATGTCGCTTCATTCGCGAACCGGTACGTTCCGGTTTCGATTGACCTTACTGACTCTTATCATATAGTGATTCTTATCATGGCGGTTCTCAACCTATTCTTTCATCAATTGGTCCGCCTTAATAATTACGGTACATCGCAGAGACGCATCTCCACAATTTACAATTACAACCATTTTGGTTATGTGGTGTAACGCTCGACAACTGTTGATCCATTGCTGATTTTACGATTGCTCCATTAGACGACAAGACGAACGCGAGAAAATCCGATATATGAGAATATCTAAGATCCTTTTTTCCTTTATTCTCATAAAATGTCGTTTATGTAAGCCGCGGTAACTTCTTTCCAGTTCGCGCTGGATCTTGTCTGACGATGAACCTTTTATCTGGAAGTAAATTGCCGAGAGGTACCCGGATATCTTCGTATATACAGATACGAGTGTTTCTGTTTTCACGATAGCTTGCAAAAGGTTGAAGTTAATCGGCGAAGTTTAAACGTCGACGAAAGATCAGGCAATACGAATCGCCTGTGTTTGTAAAAAAAAATGGATCATTATTTTATAACTGATTAGATATTAGCACATAGAACACACATACTAGTGACCGTTCCTTAGCCGCTTGCGTCACGAATTTATAATCAATAAGCGTCGATAGCGAAAACCGGAATCTGTTGGTTATTATCGGACACATCCTCCAATCGTAAACCTAAATCGATTTTAACGGCATTCTGTAGTAGCGAACGTCGCAAAAACCAAGTGTGACAGAGGTCCAAGTCGATTAAGGAAAAAAACTTGCGTGAAGTAAACATAGAAAATTTTAGAAAACATAGAAAAAACATAGAAATTAGATTCCACTTGCGTCTATCCACCTCGGACACTACCGCACTTCGTGTTTAATAATACGCGATTATGTAATTCGCAATATCGTTACAGATCAACCAATGTTAATTTTATGTTAATTTTAATCGTTACTCAACGAAAAATCGTCGGATGGAGATTCAAATCGTAGTCAGTGAATACGCGTGAAAAAGAAAGAAGGAACAGGCGTGTAATCGTTTGAAATTTGTTTGCAGCGAAGCCCTGCTCGCGTTACCATCGTTGACGGTGTTCAAGCAAGAAGCACCATCACCGGAAAATCAGCAAAATTCCAAGTAAGTTGCTTTAGCACGCTGCAAAATCCGCTGAGCGTTTTTGTTCGTGCGTTACACAGGAGGCGTTATCACCTCGTCTGAGCACATTCACGTTCATTTCGTAACCGCATCCTTCGTCTATCGCGGCGAATATTTCTTCCCTTTTCCAGCTACTTTTTCCTCCGCCTATTGACGCGTGATCCGACGATCGTCTCGCGATAAGTCGGTCGTTGGAAACGTCAGTGGCGTTCGATCAGTACGTTGATTAGAAACGGTGGAAACGGTACAAGAGCGGCGACCTTAAAGGAAGAAAACAAAGCCAACAGCGGAATTTGCCGCGAGACTCCCCCGCAGAGTCTCGAGACTGATAGGAGGCATATCGTCACGTTTCTTCGCACAACTATCGAACAAATGGCACGCAGGTCAGACCTTTACTCTTACGAGATTTCTCGATCGTTTTCTCGCCGCGTTACCCCGTCGGTGTCCCGTGCCAGTTCGTCCGACACGATCGTGCGAGAAACGTGATTTCCTTAAGAGCCTGCGTCCGTACGATCTCACGGAATCAATTTCGCGTTTATCTTCGCGACAAAAAGATACATATACGCGCGCAATGTGATCCCTCGAATGTTTTTCAGCGAGATTAAACTTGCAAGTTAGCGCGACTCGTGGAACTTATCGGACACTTTTCTAGATTTTTTTCTAGATATCTTACTCGTTACAAACAACGGACCAAAGAACGTTGATTTTTTTTTTTGGGATATATTTTTGGATGTTCCGACGATTCAAGCAGTATTTATTTTTAACCGAGACTTGGTCTACCGCTGGAGATTCTGACTCGTGCATCGTACTAAATATCATGGACGTGCGCTGCGACGTATCATAGGAGTTGTTTAAGCGAGCAAGCTTTATAGAAGAGAGACAACGACGCTTGGACGAACGTAGATACACATTTGTTAGAAGGGTTAAGAAAGAAAGAAATGGAAACCATAAGAGCGTATTATTGCGAAAGCTGCGCGAGTAATGGATGAATTGTCTGCGTAGAAATTGCCCCTAATTAGGAACTCGGCGTTACGCACAACCCACACCGAGACTAATAGCAGTAAAGTATTTCGACGAACTAGTGAAAACTGTTCGTGACGACCGCGAATTGAGTGTAATTTCATTTCGTACGATACGATCGGTTTCCTCCTGAAACTAGTTTCAACAGCAATGAAAACACCGTCGGATTTAACGCTCTCGCCGTCGGTGTTCTTTAATTTATAGTGAGTGCAGTCTGTATGAAATTAATCGCGAATCGCGTTAATCTCGGAGAAGCGCGACAATTGCTATTAGAAGTACATATACGCACAACCTTACAGGCCTCCGTGTGAACGTAACGAACGTTATAGGAATGCACATAGGATTGATGTTCTTTTCTCGTTCAATGTTTGCTTCAGTTTAAACCACGTGTCACAGAGAACAATTAATTCGGCACCAGCGAACAACTCGAACGGCTCTGTCGAGGCTGACAGTAACAATAATGGGCAGACAGCAGCTAGTCTTCATCAGTTGCTTTACTCCTCGAACGAGGAGTATCCTCCAACATCGTCCTCGGGAAACCACGTTTCATCCTCTCAACAAGGAAACGAACTCAACGAGGACTGCCGGTACGTGGTTGATTTTTACTGCAACTTTCCAATGATATAATGTACAGCGTAGCCGAACATTCTAAGTTAAAATGCTTATAAAATAAAACGCACGAAACGTAGTGTGATTTTCACGCTATCGCGGATACGAAAGTCACGCGATTATATAGTAAGAGTTAAGAATTTTATTGACTAACGGGAGAGTAACGTTTCTTATAGTTTCCAATACGTGCTTGCGGCTGCCACGAGCATTGCGACGAAAGTCAACGAAGAGACGCTCACCTACCTGAATCAGGGTCAATCGTACGAGATCAAATTGAAGAAATTGGGCGATCTGTCGGCATATCGCGGGAAGATTTTGAAGGTACTTGGTCACTCATTACGGGTTCCCTAGAATAGATCAGGAGATCGTCTATGTTTGGGTAGCAACATCTTAAAAAACGTATTAGTCTCTCAAAACGAAATCAAACGAGCTCATACTGGTTGCAGTATGATGGTTGCGATGATTTCTTGTCTGTCGTTGGCGACAGGAATCATGTAATACGAAGACAAAATTTAGCAATTATTATCATTATTATCATCATCGTGTCACCGATATATTATTAATACATCTCCCTTGTTCTTCACGCGTAACAACCCAAATGAGCTCATAAAGGTCCTGGACGTTCGAAAGATGTGAGTCACCCAAACGGTGCTACAACGTCTCTGAAGGGACATCCAACGTTTTTGTTTCAGTCGACAATACGCATTTGCTTCCACGAGAGGAGACTTCAGTACACTGAACGGGAACAGATGCTCGCATGGCAACGCGCAAGACCCGGTGAAAGATTGCTCGAGGTCGATGTTCCCCTTAGTTATGGGATGGTAGACGTTTGTCAACCGTCTCCGTCCAATAATAGCGTGGAATTCATGTGGGACCCCACCAAGGAAGTCGGCGTTTATATAAAGGTGCAGGAAAGAGATTTGCAAATAAAAAAAGAAGATCGACCGCAATTACAGCTAATTATCTATTCTCCTTTGTTTCAAAACGTTGCTCTTTCCATCAAATGATGACCCTTTTGCGGTTCATCAAATTTTTGCGCCTCGTTACGTGTACTTTCAACCGAGAAAAAGACTTTTAACGTTTTAAGAAAATGGAAAATCTTAGTGTATATTAATGTACAGTTTTCTAAAATCTTTGTATAGTTGAAAAGGAAATTCGCGTGGTAGTATGAAACTCGTTTACCAAAGGGTGCGTGAAACCAACCCTGAAACTAAAATGGTATTCGATTGTTGCACCTTAGGTGAACTGTATTAGCACTGAATTCACGCCCAAGAAACATGGTGGGGAAAAAGGCGTGCCATTTCGGATCCAAGTGGAAACGCGACTACCGGGAGGCCCTCGTTTGCACGCTGCATCTTGCCAGGTAAAGGTCTTCAAGTTGAAAGGTGCTGATCGCAAACATAAGCAAGATCGGGACAAGATACTGCGACGGCCGGCACACGAGCAGGACAAGTACCAGCCAAGCTACGACTGCACGGTTCTGTCCGACGTAAGTCGTCATTTCATGCTTCTCTCTGGCAAAGAATAAACCAGGTTGGATGCTGTTTGATTACAGATTCCCCTAGACTCGTTATCGCCATCCAATTTGGTCACACAAAATGGAGGGAGCCCCTATGCGTCAACAGAGGCAGTGTAAGTGCAAACATTAATCTTGTTTTCATTTCATTCCTCCTGCGATCTGCGACGTAATCACGATGACTTTCTGTACAATTTTTTTCGTAGATACGCATGAATAAGTGTGAACCGCCATGTTCGATTTTCTTTTTATTTTGTTTGACCCCTAGCGTCTGTCGCTACTGTATGTTAGGATCGATGTTTGTTGACAGACATTTTTTCTCCTTGATCTTTACACAAGAGGCTACCAGTTTACATCGACACAACAAATCATATCACCGTCTTTTTCCCTGTAGTAATATGTACCTGTTGCTGCTTAGCTTTTTCCGGGTTACACGTTTATTTCATATCGTTGTAAAATGTGATTACACAACGTGTCGGTGAATGTATGTTGCCATGTAAATTAACCGGCTCGTTCTGGATATTACGAGTTTCTGTTATTTCGCCTAATTAAACAACAATTTGCATCGACCGACCTACTCTGTCGAAACTAAACAAAGCGTGACGCGATCTTATTAGTACCGTCGTTCTTTCAGAAAAATGAAATAAAAAATCGCAGGCATTTTTCATGCGAACGACGTTCGATAATGCGACATTAATTCTGCAATGCATCAAAGTCCGCGCGCTCTCAATGTCACTACTTTTTACGATAACGATGATTAAACGTAAATACGAGTATCGAGGAATTCCGTCGTACGATTGCCATTTTTCCTCCATCGTCGCTCTATTCATAGCTATCACGATAACGGAAAGACAAAGAATATCGTGTCGTTCGTGTTATTGAGCGGAAGCAAGAGGGCCAGGTGTTGTTTCATGGTCGTTCTTGACATTCGAGTCGGGAAAGTCAGAAACGACAGAAAAATCCATAAAGGTCGCGTACGTAAAAGACGATCGAGGAAGAAAATCGCGAGTAGAACGATCCTCTCGAGAGAAAGACCGATGCACAGCCACGTTGCATGATGCAGCTGGTTTGCTTGCAATGCAGAAATGCAGCGCTGCGTTGCCGTTTCTCTTGGAACGAGCGTGGGATCGAAGGTAGGGGGATTGATGATGAATCGGAGGTGGAGGAGGTAAAAGTAGTTCGCAAAGTGGTGGCTGAAAGCGTGGCGATGGTAATGGCAATGGACGATAGGAGGCTTGGGATAAGGTGGTGGAAGAGGAGGTGCCAGCACGGGAGTCGCGAAACTGGCTCGAACTGGCACAAGCCGGCATCTGGTAGAGCCGACAACGATGCTCCGAGTAATAGAGAGAGACAACCTCGACGACAAATAAATTCAGAACGCTACACGATACACGCATCGCCGCGCAGCCGCTTCGGTTCTCCGTTTATCCATCAGCCTCTTTCGTCGGAATCGTTTGGTCTTTTCGCGATATACCGCTCGTGAGCCGCTCGTTCCTCTGCTTATTCCGTCGTTCTCTCCCACCTTCTTTTTACTTTTTTTTTTTTTGCTGCGTCGCGATACTACGCCGGGAACGGGACACGTTGTTGGTGGACGAGAAGATAATCGACAAAAACGGAACCCAGTGAGAATCGCAGACATGATCTACCGCTGAGAACGCTTGTTTATAAATAAAACGGTGATCGGTGACTATCTTTTCGTGTGATTCGCTACGTTCCACTGCGACGTACTATAGCTGGCTGATCCTACTGCGAGGCGATCGCTGGTCGCGATTATCCCGGCGAGTAATCGATACACACTCGTTATTGCTCGTTTCTGCGGACCATTTTTACTCGCTGGTTGGCAGAAGCGGACGTGATCGAAGGTTTTCTCTTTAAGCACGAAAGGGGAACGAAACGCGGCAACGGAAGCGTGATACACGTTCAACGTTCAAAGAGTATTCGATTTCGCGTGGACTGGTCAGTGTCGTAGCGGTAATCCTCGGCCAGAGGTCGAGTGCACCATGCACGGGAATAAGTGCTACGATTTCTACCTTGTGAAATAATTTAACAACCGGTGAGATCTTGGTTTTCCGTTCGTTCCGGCGCACGGGTCTACGTCCTTCGACGAATAAAGCACCGGCAAGATACCACACGGATTACTGCATCGACCGTGAATTTAAAAATAAATTGTACACGGAACAGAGAGCTGTCCACGCTTCCTGGCGGAGATCGTGAGCATCGATCGCGAACTGAATCACGTCGATCGAGAACTGATATCGCGTATCGACGCGTAGTAAAACGAACGTCGAAGAGGGAAAATAAAGGGAAACAGGAGGACAGACGCGATCGAAAGCGGACGTGTGATGTCCGAGGGATCGCGACGACGATAATTTTTGCGTAAAGAGGAAGTTCGTGGCTCGCATGCGTCACACACTGTGATTCGGCTACTTTTCTACGTAACCATAGCGCAACAACGAGCAAAGAACACTCCAGATTGGCGAAATATTATTGATCGGGCATCGAATCGAGAGTGAAGCCGCTACACGCCGTTGGAATGCCCTCGTCCGGTGTAGAATTTCGTTTTCCAGCTAATCGTCCGGAATCGTCTCGCGCGTCGAGTATCCTCGATCTCGAATCGTTACGCGTCGACGATCAGAGCGTGGTTGTGCGTGAGATCCTGGCCAGTCAGGTGCTCCTGTCACGCCAGGATCACTTCCTTAGATGACGAGCAGCCTGGCCGCCGAAAAGCTGATGCCAGGGCGGTTCGATTCAGCCTTGAACTGACATACACCTACGTTTCCACGTGAAACTTCCTTTCGAAACCGCGTTAACGCGGAATCTTGTATCTTCGATACAACTCGTCTCATCGCGAGCACGAAGACCAAAGATATCGATAACAGCAAATCGGATGTTGACTCACGATAAACGTTAGAAGGCCGTTTTAAAAAATCAACGAACGAGGAACTTGGTTAAATCACGTAACGCAATCGGGGAAAAATAAGAAGCAGAATTTTCGCTTACCCTCGCGATTAGAAGCCATTTGTCGTGTAGAGAGGATATAGCTTGCCCGATGGCAATTTCATTTCTATAACAGTGGACAAGGAACAGGAAGAATCGAATAGGAATACGAACAATCGCTTAAAGATGCGGCCGAACGATTTGCCGGTTGATCGGTGAACGAGAGAGGTCTTCGAGAAGTTGCCTGTCACGTAATCGATTACACATTTCGATCAGAACGAACGCAGGTGGCTGCCGATTTAGTTGGTAGTTTCTGGAATTATTCGCGACTTACCTAGCTCGGGAAAGAAGAAGAGGAGATATAGTAGAGGTCGCTGGAACCTTCGAGAGATGAAGGAGAGAAAGGAGGAGAGACAATAGGAGTACACAGCCATCATCGAGAGAGAGGATCGCGTTATTTTTTTGAAATTTCGCGTGACTGCGAGCAAAGTCGAAACTAGAGATATCCGGTTCGCAGCAGAGTCGCGTACCAATAGCGATCAGATTCCTACCGATCGTATCCGACCTCAGCCTTCTCCAATCGAGACTTTCGAACGATCGATCGGACCTCAGTTGCGAATAAGGCTTAAAGCTGCCTACGTTTCAAACAAATCTTATCGATAACCGAGAGACTGACGTAACTGTAAACCGTTCTCGAGAAATCGAGGCAACAGACGACGACAACGACGACGACGACGACGATAATAAAAATGTATTTGTCAAAGGACGAACGCTGTCCGAGGCTGAACCAGCAGGAAGCGATCGATTAACATTGAAATTTATACGAATGGGCGAAGAAAGAATCGGAAATTGGTCGAGCGTTCGCGTATTCAGATTGCATATATTCATGAAAGAGCGAATGAAAAGTCGAAAGAAATCTGTGAAGGGAACGGCGAATCTTTTCACGAGAATATATGCTTGAAGGAAATTCTTTTTGGGAACGTTGATAGAATCGAAAAAGCGAGTAGTCGAGATGACAAAGAGCTGTCCCAGTTGGAAGTTGAAGAGTTGCTGGGCAATCAGATCGACGGAGAAATTTCGCGGAAATGCCTCGGCTTACCTCCTGGAGCATGAAGTAACGGTCAGCGGTGGTCCTCTGCAAGTGGAAGTTGTGGCTAAGTTTATTCATTCTATTTCGGAATCCAGAACGAGAAGAGGTAATCTCATGCGCGGTGGATTAGTCAGCCTGACGATAAGAAAAGGCAGGAACAACAAAAGAATCGACGGGAAGGGGATTTCCAGGCTGATTTTTCGCTTGAAGAGGCGCGCCATGTAAGGATGTCGTTACACGATTACGAGAATATTAGCGTTGAGAAAAACGGACGAAGAAATTTCGTTGGTTCGCGTGTGTCTGGACGTTATTCTTGCGTGCTTATGTAACTCGCCAATAAATTAGATGATCTTAAGGTCGGGAATTAAGTTACATTATTTATACTTTAGCGCGTTTCGAGTAGAAAACGCTCATTATAAATAATAGATGTACTTCTTCGAACACTGGCACAGCCGAATGACTTAATATTCATACAGTAGCGATAGGTTGCGGTGTCAATTATTACCGTGTTCGCTTTCATTGTGCTTAATGTCGTTAATTCACGTTCTACGCGGACAGCAATCTTCCATAGCGTCTACTTTGTCACCAGTTGCCTTGATCAATGCAAAAATATTCGAGTATTTAAACCGAGGATATCTGTTCGGATTTTACGTTCGATTAAAATAAACGTAGGAGAATAATATTTCATCGAATTGAAAGAGATAACTGTTATTCTTGCAGATCACCCCAAACCCGCTCTATAAGTGGCAATACATCTCCGGTGGTAGCGCCTTTGGCACTTTCGGTTTCCAATCCGGGTATCGTACCTCTAGTTCCTGCCTCTGATGCTGTAAAGGAAAATGTGGGAACAGCACCGGCTCTACCATCGCCTGCGGCAATTTTGCCAGACCAGTCCTGTATCGAAGCTGAAGTTAGTTTACGGAAAATCAGCTGGAAACAATATCAATGAAAATCTTAAGCTTTTGCACTGGGAATGTCAGTTATGCGGATACGATTTTTTCCATATCGCGTATGAGACGATACACGAACTTTGTATTCGCGTGATCAATTCATGTAAACGCTATAGACAAACACGGACATAAGAAATAAGATATGAAACGTGTAAATGATACGATAATGATACTTAATGGTCTTAGATACTCGGTGGTTATCTTGATTTTTTCAATAAAAGTTCGTGAAAGATTTTTTTCAAGAAGAAAGTTTATCGTTAGAGTATGCAGCGTGATTCGGAAATTACAGTTTCTTTCTCGGTAAACAGAAATAAAATAATTGTAAACCTTTCTGGCTTTTCGTTACTCAGTTGATGGATAGACACGTTAAAATGCATTCCGAGTGCAAACGATTAGGGTCTCGGTCCTTTGAGAACGTAAATTAGTAAATTTTGTCTCGCGTTACTCGGAGGAGTCCGCTTAGAAGAACAAAAACAATATTCAGTTTAAATATTACGGTAAACTGGAACTCGTAAAAATACAATTTGTCTGATTATATAGGCACCATCGTGTTTGGCTCAATTGTCACCAGACGCAAACGCGGCACAGACAACCACGTGGCTTCGCGCTAGTCGTTTCAATGCATTCGAGTCCACGTTCGCGAGCTTCTCTGCTTCGGATATCTTGCGACTCTCTAGAGACGACTTAATCCAAATTTGTGGCCTGGCTGATGGGATTCGATTGTTCAATGCGCTGCACTCGAAAGCGCCAACCCCGAAACTTACCCTCTATTTCTCGTTGGAAGACAACGGTTCGCTTTGGAGAGTTGCTTACTTGGACAGTCTGACCAGCAGTGCCTTGATAAACAAGCTACTGAACACCTTAAGTCTACCCCACGATCGACTACATTCTGTACTCTTTCTTGGTCCCCAAGGTATCCATGTAATAGTCACCGATGAATTGGTAGCAAACATGAAGGACGAAAGCATGTACTTCGTTGAAACTATCAAAGGTAAAGATGGGAAGAAGGGAAGGATGACTTTGAAATTGAAAGAGACAACTCCGATATTTAAGTTGTATTTATTGGGGTAGAAAGAAAGGAATAAGTTTCATATTCGAATGTAGGAAAGATTATTAGGAATTCCCTTCAATTTCTAGTCTAATCTAGACGATAAAGAAAATAATTCAACATTGTGTTAATAGATAATTTTTGTGTTGCAGATAACACGAGCGAACGCTACAAGCTGCTTCTAAAGCCTTCATCGCGTTCCTAAAGGATACAACCAATGATAAATTAATTACGAAATTACTCAATGGATCTCTCGCGTGTTCTAAATTTGCCAAATGTGTCTGTGATTCGATAACAAATTTACTACGTAGTAGGGCTTAAAAACAACGTACTTTTTCCGGTTTAAATTATGACGATGGATTTTATGAAGGAATATTTTTTGATTATTTATTGGCGAATATAGAAGGTGGTAAATTGATTAATCGTTAATTAATCTTTTTATCTTTGGCGGCTATTTTGTGCAAGTAGATAGAAAAGAACAAATAGGAACTTGCTAACAGATAGACGAGGAGATATAAGCAAACTCTACACGCAATACTCACTAGAAGGTTCCGCTGTAACTATATTTCAGAAGCAGTTGTTGCTTCCAGAGATAAACAAGTTTTCAGCATTACAAAAAATACATATATGTGTCAAATTATATATTTTATATGTATTACTTTACAGGAAAATTTCAATTATCGTAAAAGTAATATACAGGTGTCTCAGATAATTCTTTTCTCTTCTTAGAATTTAAGTAAATTACTTAGTTTGAAAATTTATTTAGAGAAGACGTAAGTGGCGGTGGTTACTGCAATTACTCAATTCTTGTGCCACGACATGCAAATTTAGTATGCGAATATTGTTATTGTTATGACTATTCATCAGCGTCGAATGAATTGTTATTCCAATTTACACATTTTACCTACAACGTTAATGAACGATGTCGCCGATGAATATGATCTCTATGTACACAAAGCGTAATATTTTTTTATTGTCATTAATTATTACGATATCGAATAGCCACGACGCCTAAGAGGACGTAGAACGCATCACTCCTAACGGAACTACTTTGCCAAGGCAAAGGAGCAAGAATAGAGAACCAAACCAAAGTTTCTATTCTTCGATATTAAAAGAATGTCTTTAGAAAAGATATAAGTGCCTTATTTTTTCTTTTTTGTTTATAGCAAAGTGTTAGGATTTATTTAATTAGAGTTTGACAATTAAGGGTAATAATGATTGCTTTGCCACGGAAAATCATGTTCACACTATATCGCAGTACAAATTAGAGGAAGATCAATTTTTCCCTAAACATCTTTGTAAATCATGGACAACATACCAAGTATTATAATTTACTACCAAATGTTAAATCGTAAGTTAGGAATCTTGCAAAGAATCAATTCCAGAATTAATGATAAATACGAATTCCTGAATGGATGTCAATATTTACGATATGGCTATTAACATCGTTTTTCTATATTTTATGTACAATCGAATGTACCTTTAATATGTGAATTGAACCAGTAATGCATCTCATTGCTCAATACAACGTAAAAACGCGTGTCGTTTACATCACTCTAATGAGCCGCGTAACAATTGTTAGAATCGTGTTAGCAAATGGGGCAAAACTATCGTTGTATATTTTAATTTAGGTAATGTGCGAAATGAAATTACAAGGATAGGAACTTGAACTTCCACTGTAATAAATGGAAGTGTATTATTCGGTTGCATGCTATATACATATTTCGATAGAAATTTCGGCGAATATGATGTATGTCACAGAACGGCACAATAAATATCCTTTGTTGCCAAAATATATCGTCCCCTAATAAATGGGCTTCAGTTTTTATTCATAAATATATTCTTTTATTTAGCAAAATAGAGTAAGTCGTGAAATGTAAATTGTCTTTCATCGTACATAAAATACGATAAATAGATCCGCAAAACGATGCAACGTACATATTGCTGCAATTCGTTATACGTTGCACATTCATATTTCTCTCGCCGCATTCCATAATGCCATGCCCCCATTAACATCGTTCGCGTTACTTCTTTTTCTTCATCTGTTTATTCTTCTTTTTTTCTTCCCGCTTCGACTCCCTCTCCGACAAGCACTTGAATAATTTGTAGACAAAGAACACTAAAATCATAAAAGTACAGATAAAACGATAACATTATCAAGTACAAAATAGAACGAGTCCTATTTAAAACATATCAATCTCGTTTATACGATTCTCTATAAATACTAAACGGTTTATAAAAACGACATACCAAGAATGAAAACTATAAATAGCACAGCGAAAATAAAAATAGTGTACGGCTGAGAATAAAACAATGTATAATACAGTGAATATAAGCTCGAACTACTTTGCAGTTTTTTTTCAAACATTTCGACTACTTCATCCATAAATTGTTGCTTTCCTTCACTGTCCAAATCTTGATATCGCTGAAATATGCTGGACAACTTTTCCTTGGCATGGTCCGGGAGGAGATTTGAAAATTTGTCCTGTATATCGTCGGTCAATATACCCTTCTCTCGCAACGAATCCAAAACTTTATCCATATTCCGTACACCGTTAAAGCAAAAGTCACAGAATTTTTTTTCTAGCTACGAGAACCTAGCCGATAAACCGCTAATTCTGTTAGCGGGTGAGGATACGATTGATCAAATAATTGTTCACGGGCAGTGGTGAAGTGGTCGATTAGATAACAGGTAGCACATTAAACTGAGCCGTGGCCGTACACGATGCAGAAATGACGATTTAGCGGCTTTTGTTATGCAATGCAGCTGATAAAACAAAAATATTTACCGAATCAACACCAGTCTGTTGAAAGTAGTCAGAGGAAAAGGAAAACAATAACCAATCTATAACACCCTACCATCGATAATTGGAAAAAAATTGTCTGACTTTCACATCCAATAAAACTAAGTTTCAGAAGCTCAAATCAAGAAAATATTTACCAAAAATGAGAGCAACTACACTCAACAAAGATAAAAGGACCATAGTTTGCATAGTGAGATCATTGCCAGGCATCGGTTGGCTGCCAAGTTGTGGAGAATCATCACTTTCTTGGATAGTTTTCAACAAATCCTCCCTGAGTTTCGATTTCTCCTCATCTGACAAGCCGGTCATCGAATCGAGCATCCCCAGGAGTTGCTCCGTCGTTGGGAGTTTTTCTTCGAAGTTAGAGCCCACTTCCGGAGGAAGTACGGCTTCTTTGGAACCTGCTTCCGGTGCAACACTCGCTGCATTGTCCGAATTTGCTAGTGCAACAGCCAAAAGGCCACTTGCAAGTATCATCCACATCCTAATTAGAAACATTATTTGGTTATATTGGTGGATATCTATGATCATTTCAAGATGTGTACGTTTTCCTCACAGATTAGATAATGACATTTTTACACGACACCGAAGATTAATAGAAAAGACCGATAATCATCAAATGCTCGTCCATTTGGAAAATTTAAAATCGTTATTTAGAAATAAACGCAGCAAGTACCATTGTCTTTGTTTTCCAATTCGATTAACAGGTCCGTTATATTGAAAGATTGTTAGCGAGTTATTAGTGATAATGTTCGAACTGTAATTCATTAGCGTACCTGGAAGGATTTTTCGTTTCAATGAAAAACTATAAGAATATGAGGACACCCTTGGTCACCACGATTACGTACTTGATGAAACGTTTTATATGAAAAAATGGAGGAGATCTTCGGAGAACTGGGCGCTCCTCAAAAAGATGATCGTTTTACTGAAAAGATCGCTCGTGCTTGGCGGGAACATGAACGATGATCAAATATGTGACCAACGATTGGTTAAATCCAAAGAGGATCTGTATGTTAGTTATCTTATTGGTAGTCATATGGACGTCAGGCCAACGTGGCCACTTCCAACGTGTTAGTTGTGAAGCCACGAAATGCTACTTAACCTCGCCTAAATGACCTTGCAATGTAGATTAAAACACGTTTAGGCTGACGTATTGCGTTTCTTATACTGAACTAACAATAATATCAGATATTGCATTGTTGGTGGGGATACAAAGTCATAATTATCAACGATGACATATGTATTTCGCGAGATGTACTCGTGAAAATTATTTTTATCTTAGAAAATGAACCGCATTCGTGCATTAACCCTTTATGTGATTAGCAAAATTGAACAAACAGTTTCCAAGAAGTCTAACTTCCCTTTCTATTAATTGATTAAGGGAGTTATTCTAAGACAAGGAAATAAAAGCTAAATAATAACTGTTTATTTCAAGCAAATAAGAAAGATTAAATTTCGTACAGAATATTTAATTTTAACACATTATACAAAGTATCGGTTACAACATATGTACGTATTCATATTTTGAAGCATGGAATACATAATTCAACGTCAACGAAATTCTTACAATAAAATCATGTAAGTATTTCATATTCGTTTTTTACTGATATCTCTTTTGGATTGTTTTCTTCTCAATCATAGGAATTTTTTTAATGAAATGTTTTTATTTTATTAGCTTCAACGATCTATGTTAAATTAGATGACTACAATCGTATACATGTTCCTGTGATAGTAAAACCAAATATATCATGAAATCATGTGCCGATATACAACCCCGTGACTGTCACGAGCTAAGCAATATGCGTACATCACGCGAGGTCGATGCCATATCGAATTGTTCACTTAAGGGGTTAAGACAATTATAAGTTTGAAGTATCTGAATCAATGAAATTGTATGTCTACTATGTCGTAACTTGTCGCGTCACACTAGGCTAGTTCATAAATCTGAATCACGTGCGACAGCTGTAGGTGTTTGACCTATGTATGCAACAGGATTCCGGCTTGTTGGCTTTAATGGATTCTCTTTATCGAAAAATTTGTAACTGTCTGTAACTTTACTATAATATATTTTATATAATAAGGCAGTAAAAACAGCCATATGATTTGAAAAAGCCGTAATTTCTGCAGCGTAGGACACCGCGCTTTTTTAGAAATGTATCTTACCGGCGAGACCAATCACTAAAATTGCAGGTGTTATGAAGACGATATCGCTGAATCCATGTTCGATTGGGTTGTCGAAACCATTGCTAAGGTCCACCATTTCGGGAAATCACAAATTTTCGATAAATTTTAAGAACAGATATGTACTGAAACAGGTCTCCGTTTAACGCCACCTAGAAACAGTCTGACGTTATTTTAAGGTTAAGAAATTGATCAGCTAACGGTATATTTTTTATGATTCTTTCTTTAGGAAAGAGTATGGTATTCTTTGTCTTTATTCTATTGTCAATTTATCGAACGATATTCATATTACATTCACTGTTACTTATACATACGTTAATAACATATATCGATATTTAAATCCAGCGTCGGAGAATCAATCTTTATTATTTCATTTATTATATCTATTACGGTAAAAGTAATGTCTCTTTAATAGAGGTAAATAGTTGATTCGTAAATGGATCGCTATTAAAAATGCTTAATTTAAGTAAAAACTGTACAAATTGCAAGTAAGATGCACTTACGATTGTTTTATCATATGTATATCTTTCTATCACAAGCCTTTCCGCTTGTAAAATAAATAACCATTTTTTATAATAACGATTATAAAAGAATTCATTATTGTTGATCATACCTACGATATGTTCATTTGTATTATTAATTATGTTTATTATTATTGTACGTTTATACCAAATATTATTATTATATCTTTGTATAATTTTTACATAATTTTCTGAATTATTTTACTAATATACCGTCATCCGAAGAGACTAAAACCGCTAAGTCACAGTCGAATCAGTTATAATTTCAGTTACACTCCCTACATATTCTTGTATTTAACCGGATTTTTTATAATTTTTACATCTTTTCTCGGATAAATGATTGTTACATTTTTTATTATTCAGAATCATATTGTAGATAGAACAAAGCTTTTCGTTTTTGAGGAGCACAACAATTTTTAACATTGTCCTTTATAATTTAATTACCTTTTACACCAAAATCACTTCAAATTTCGCGCTTTGGCAGATTTTCGAACTTGAATCACGTATTACGTGGTAAACTAGGACTACTAGGACTGTAAAGGCGGTTCGTTTCCCGCTGTTTTTTCAGTATCGTTACGATCAAGTGGTTTGAGAAGTTACACAAGTTTCACAAGTCAGTGATAAACGAAGGAAAAATGTTAAAATTCGTAAAATTGTCTGATAAAGCGTTTGCACCAGTAAAGGGATCACAATATGCTGCTGGGTTCGATTTAAGAAGGTATATATATTTGTGAAACATGTACATACAATTGTAAATAACGTTTGGGGTTTCCGAATTATCAAAGTTTCATATATTAATGAGTACTGGTTTTTTTAACAGTGCCTATGAATACATTGTGCCTGGACATGGTAAAGCACTCGTCAAAACAGATTTGCAAATTGAAGTTCCTGACAGCACATACGGAAGAATAGCACCACGTTCAGGATTGGCATGGAAACATCATATTGATGTAGGCGCAGGTGTTATTGACGCCGATTATCGGTGAGTGTTTAAACAATTAAATTATATATAGTATATAGTGGTTATGAGACAGTTGCGAAATGTATAAAATAAGTTTCTGAATGTTGGAGCATGAGAGATACGATGGATGGTTGTGGAGTTGTACTATTTTTGCATCAAAAATGTTCAAATTCTCATTCATTGTTTTTTTTAACATAGAGGAAATGTGGGAGTAGTGCTATTTAATCATGGTAATGAGGACTTCAAGATTGCACCAGGTGATCGTATAGCCCAATTAATTTGTGAAAAAATAATATATCCAGAACTTGAAGAGGTAGATAGTTTAGATAATACTGATCGAGGAGAAGGAGGATTTGGTTCGACAGGAAAAGATTGAGATTTTTGTATTCTTTCTATTAAATTTTATTTAATAAAGATTATGTCATTTTTGTACATCATTCTAAAAAATATTTTCTCCTACTGGTCTTGAGGATTTTATATTTATCATTACGCACAGGTATATATTTATCATTGTGATTTATATCTTTGCAAGAGGGACTAGATTAGTATATTGTGTTGGTGTCTTTACCAAACTTTGAATATTTTTGAATTCCTTGTGCTTTGCATCAGCTAGTAACTTGAAAATAACATTTTCTGAAGTAGCTATATGGCACCCTATATCTCTCATCCTCTGTGAAAGTTGTACAGATTAACCACTATATCCATTTATAATTTTGTTTCTTTATAAGATTGCGCTATATTTTTACCTGTAAGGCCAATAATCTATCTTCTTGAGTACGAGAAGTACAGCAGTCTGCAACAGTGTGTACTTCATATCCGTCTTGTCTTAAGTCGATTGCTGTATTCTCTATGCATACATGGGTTTCAAGACCAATGAGAATAACTGAATCTGGTTTTTGACCAGCACAAATTGTAGAAAGTTCCTTGCTTATCTAAAATTTATTTTAAAAATTATCGAAAAAGGTATTTTAACAGTGTCCTTTGTAGAAGAATAACTATGTAATGTCCATACTTCAGGAATACACATGCTAAATTGAGTCTTTTCAAATGGCCCTTTGGCACCAGAAATATCAAACTGGGAAATGGTTTTACCTAGAGCCTTTGGATTTTGCTCAGAAACGATAATAGGAACGTTTAGAAGCTTCAATGCATTTATCTGTAAATATATACATATATAATCTAATCTATATTATGCTCAGTGATTTGTACTACATAACCTAGAATCTTTTCAAGTACCGAATGTTAAGAGCTTAAGATCCCATTAAATCGTGTTATCTTATGTGTACATATATATTTATATCACATGCTATATCCATTACTACATATTTACCAATTTCACCGAGTTTTGTGTGATTTTGTCAAATTCGAACATAACCTTAGCGAATTTCTCTTGAACGTCACATATTAACAGAACACTTTTACCCTGCTTTAAAACAGCTTTTGCAGCGTTTGTTGCCATATTTACAATAATCCTTGAAGATTTGCGTGACAATATGAAATAAAACGACCCTGCAGAGTTACAAAGCGAACCAGTTGGCGAGGTCACTGGTGCAATGTCGACGAATTTCTATATCGCAAGCTAACGTGCTTTCATGTTATGACGCACGTGATATTATTCTGTGATATTCAAAGTTCACGGCCAGTCTTAGCTTTACTAACTTTAGACGTGTTGCATTTAATCGATTTCGTACGAACCCTCTCGATGTGCGAGCAACATAATAAAGTGCATAAAGATATTACAGTAATTATCGTACAGGAGTGTAAATATATTTGCAAGCGCGAAAATGTTGCTTCGTTACATTTTGATCCTACATTTCTACAGATGTAGTTCATTTTGTTGATATATCGTTAACTTGTCTACTTGTTGCTAGTATACTTGTATTTTTATGTACAAAAGTTGCCGACCGGTCAGGGTACGTATATATATATTTGTACACAGTACATATGCATTATACGCTTTCAATACATTGTAATGTTATAGTATTGTTTATTGTATCTGCTTAATTTTGACATTATCTATTATACCCTGACATTATATTTTGGCATTGCTTATCTTGTACTTTTGGAATTTCAATTAAGATTTCAATATTCTGATTGCTTAAAAGTTTACATGTATAGTACTGAGTAAAGTCATATAGTAAGGTCAACAAAAAAGCAGTAAATACAAGTAATTGATATACAGTTAACATTCATACACACATATACAAAACGTATACTAAATTTTGTGTTACTAAATTATACAAATGGATTATTACAAATGGAAACTTAATGAAATTGTAAAAAAAATTCTTTACGAAACGTATTGTAGGGAATTACTGATAGTGAAACTATTATACAGATGTGCAATTATAAAAGTATGTTCCAAGAGCATTATAAAATGAAAATTTAGACGTAAAACGTAAAACAAACGTGTGTCGTAGAAATTTGTAAAACATTTTTTAATATGTATTCAGAGATGTAAATTTAGTGATTTAAATCGACTGCTTTCGCGCATGCGTGGTAGCGCTGCGACCCAGGTGCAAGTCGGATGTAGGATGGCCACATAGAAGAGTGGAGTAGCGACGAGCGGCAGTCAAACAATGATATCTGGGAAGATCGGATGTACGGATTCTTTTTGAGTATTATCAAACTAACCAGATTGATCTAATCAGTTGGTATAATGTTTACGTGCAGTTTAAGTCACGAATTGCACAAATTTTAACAATCTCGAAATAGTATTTAATTAATTACCGAATCGTGGTATTTTGATCGAGTTTGTAAACAAAGAATGGCCGGGGAGCCTCGTGAAACCGGGCATACGAAGCCGTTGGTGCAGCTTTTCCCAAAAGCATCCGAGTGCGTGTATACGAGTTGTTATTGGTAAGTGTTTTCACGAAATTTGTCCGATTTTTCTATAAAATTATCGATTTGAACAAATAAACGTGTCGTATTGCGGTATATCTTGCGATGGATCGATACGTTGCAGTAGTACAGAGACGGCAGTGCGATATGTTGCCGCCATCTTTAAAATGTATGAAATATCCACGAATCATGATACGCTATTGTGCACCGCTTTGAAAAGACCCGCGCGTTTCCATGCACTGCTTATTAGTAGAATCATGTATTTTGCCTCTTTTTTTTTTAAATCTTTGATCAACAGGAATATAGGAGTTTAATACGTTCTTTCGAATTAATCATGCATGTTAGTTCGTTATGAAAGTCTATCGACAACATGTCTCATCCGTCTTTCAGCTTGAACGAATTGCTATGTTTATTTCATGACAAACACATAGCACCAGCCGTACATAAACTTTCCTTTGCATCTCCAGTAACCTTATTTCCATCATTTGCTCCAAAACTTTGAATAATATCGATTCACGGGTCATACGACTTATCATCTACATTTAACAGTATTTCTATGCGCTGTTTACATTTCCAGTTGCTTGCATATATATCACGAATCTTCATCGGAAAGCACTACATGCACTTCCTCTATTTCTGTGCACTGTTTTTCCTTTCTGGTCGATTGTGATCGAAGCTAGCAATCCCGAGTTATCGTTTCTTTTTTTTTTTTCCTGTTTTCTACCACCGTTCGTGTTGCACCGTGTTGCATCACATTTGCACACATCTAAAAACGCGTATCTTTGATCATCTCGAACACGGTCGTCTGCAAGAACAAACTATGTTATTCTAGCGAGGAAAATGTATGGAAGCTCTGTCAAGATGTAACGACCAGACATGGATCGGAATTACAGCATTGCTATGTTGCTTTCGTGAGCAACTCCTGGCGTAGCGTACCGCTTTGGCGACAACGTGCAGGAAAGGACGAGGATAAGCTCGTAGTTTGGGTCAGTTAGCAAAATCAACAAAAAAGAAAACGATTATTAACGTCGAAGAGACCACGATTTCTCATTTTCTTTTTAAGCCTGTAACTATGATAGAGCTAGCTCTGGGGGAAAAAAACGTGTTTGTTTATATCCATAGGACTTCCACGTAATCCTTATCTACGCACCCGACGAAAGGGCGGTTGTTTACGATTTAGATAGCGCGTTGCCGTTTCCGACGCATTTCTGGAAATACGCGATGGAAACGTTTAGATCGGACGAGGTTCTACAGCCAGAACATCACAGAAGATTCAGAGTGATCCCAGCCAATGTGTACTTGCGAGAATTTGCATCGGATCGACATCATATGAAACGCGAGGATGGAACATGGATCAAGACGCCACCGGATTATCCACCAATTTCAACATCAAGTATGTTTATCGAATAACGTTAAGGCATGGCTACGCAACTATAAAGGGATTTCTTTCTCTCCTTTTTCTTTTTTCTTACTACACATGTATTCGTTTCTTCTTTTGCAAACATTCCAGCGTGCAAGGACAACTTGGATTCCTTTATTAACATGGATCCAGGGACCGGGTTTGGGGTTGTATTGACTTTAGACCAATTATTCGACCGATTTCATAGGCCGAATGCGATCCCAACGGCTCCTCGTACACCTCATCCGCAACCTACACCGACTTAAGTAAACTGCTAAGTAAGTTCCGCAAGGATAACGATTGTCTGCTTCGATTTCCAATTGTCAACAAATGAATTGTATGGCCTAAGGGAATTGGTTAAGTGCATGTACCTTTATGAACCGAAATTGGGTTAATATTCGATGATAACATTTATCTAAGCATTATTCATCGTTCAAAATCACAGCTATATCTCTGTGAATGATAAACCGATCATTTTATTTCTATCAACATTCTTAATTCGCTATATAACCTTTAACACTATCCCTGTTTATATGTGTCTCACGCATTTTTTTACTCCTACCTATTAATTCGAATTTAAATATAAGGTGTTCCATGCGACGCACAGGATTTCTTTAAGTGCCGTTGGTCGAGCGTTACAAATATTACACAGTGTGAAACACCCGTATAAAACCGTATATTTAAGATTTTAAGTATATATAATGGATATTCGTGTGGATCCATAAATGGATCGTACAATTGGAACTTATTAATTCTACAAACAATTTGATTTGAAAATTCAGCATGATTATTTCTCGATTTAATAATAATGATGAAAACCTCTTCTTATTTCAATGTTATCTCATTTAACAAAACCGTATAAGCTACATGATGTAATATGTAAATTATTAAATATTGAAAACGGTGAAAACCATAAATTTACATAAAGATACTAATACTGATGTTAAAAATTGATTCTTAATAATAAATTTGTTGTATGTTTGCTTGTCTAATCGCAGTTTTCTTTATGAAAATTTTACATCATATGAAAAAAGGAAAAAGAGAAGGAAACAAAAAATAATAATGAAGAGAAAGAAGAGAAGGAAGCAGAGGGAAGGAAAGAATTAATTAATACCTCTAAATCTATAAAGCCTTTTGTTTCTACTGTGCTTCCAGGATTCAAACAGCAATGATTTAATGCAATATATGGAGACTTTTTCAATTGAGTGTATATACTGCTTTTGTCTTGTATGATTGTGCCCTAAGAGGTATATGGAAAATAAATCTTCACTTGTGATTAAAAGTGATTAAAAGGAATATAATATAAACAGATAATATTGATACATTTCTCCTAATAAATTATCTATCGGCTACTAAAATTTCACAATATTATACAGCTTTGTTCTGGTTTACGGTTTGGTACGGGTCTTTCCTACTATTATCGTTGAATGCTACGGTTCCAGCGATATTAAATTATGGGGTCGGAGCCTCCATAATTAATCAATAACAATGCAAGGAGCAGTAACAGCGGGGAACAAAAGAGAGCGCCTGGACAAAACGCATTTGATCAAAGGGGCGTAGAGCCCCAGCTTACCGTTGCGAAGTTCGAGATTTGCTGGCTCCTCTCGTTATTCCTCGGCTCCTATAATGTTTGGACATTTCTCCATTTTGATAAAGAAATCAAAACTTACAAGAAAGATCCACGTCTTTAGAAAAACCAATTCTTTTATAACGATAGCTCTACTTATGTGTAAAAATGTACTTGATACGATTAGACACAAGTAGCAATATCGTGAGAAAAAAAGTGGTTTCTGCAAGGACATGCGCTTTTTCCTATAGTGTCGATATCTATTTGCCTCTATTTCTAAGCTATGCTGATACGTTATTTGTTTCCCTCTTTTTAAAAGTCTTTTTACAGAACCTTGCCAAGAACCCCATCTCTCTGTGTTGTCTGCTACACATTAACTATCGACCATGTTCCAAGCTTTTGGGTTCTGACCCAAGTATTGGGGATGACTGTTCTCGTCTTCATACGTTTTATCATAACGCGTAAATCTTTATCGCGGCTTTGCTCCATTGGTGGTGTTATCGTTATAGTTATTGTGTCTAAGACTGACGTATTTATAGACACATTCGTTCGACGAAGTATTTACTGGCGCTTTTATTAGCGCTGATGCACAAAAAAAAAGAAAACAAGGAAAGCGCTTATTATTGTTGTGCAACCGAGACAGTAAGGGCGAGAACGTGATCTTTGCGATAATGTAAAATAGTTATTGTAATTCTTGTGATACTTTACACTTTCTACTTTGAATACCTACGTATATACTGATATTGATACTAAAAATTGATTCTTTATAATATGTAGTGTGTTTGCTTGTCGAAACAGAATTTTCTCTATGAAAATTTGATCAATGGAAATCGAGGCTTAATTCGAGCATCCAACGCGACCAATTGTTGCCTACATCGAAATATTATTTTCGAATCAACGAATGTCCCTTAGACTCTCGGAAATAAATTTTGACAACGAAAATCTCGGAACCTTTGACCTCTCTAAAACAGAGTACATGTATACTGTATCTACGTAGTAGATTTCTTACATTACTTTCCATTTACTTCTCTATTCGCTTATTTCAATTGAAATACTCTAGTCGTCCTTCGTTTTGAAACTTCGCGAACGTAAATTTATATTGGCATGTAAATTGTTACGATTTTAATGAGAATAACTTTACAATTGCAACAAGACTATGTACTCGTAGATGTTTTAGCCAATCTATTGTTTTTAGCTGTAACACAGCGTGATACGATGCGACAGAAAATTTAATCGACAAGCGAATGCAAACGAGCTGTCGGTTCTTCGAGTAGATTGAGAATCATTGTTGAAAAAGGCGAAGAACCGACAGTCGCGTTTATAGTCTAAGGGTACGTCCACTCTTTGCCTTCCAACATCTTTCACTAGATCTCTTTGTCTTTATCATCGACATGTGTTTTTTCTCCAATTCACTTTATATCACGTTGCTATTTGCATACATACTTATAAGCAGACGTATCACCGATTGTGGGATAATTAATTAATCACTGAATGTACATATATCATTCTTACCAGTGTTGGGTAGATATCATTCTCACTGTTGTTATTCGAAATTTTTTAACGGACAACTAAATCTTTCTTTTTCCAATTAGTTATATATATATTTTATATATTATATATATATATATATTAGTTAAAGTGTTAAATATAAATATATAAAAAATAATTTACAAATCTCTTGAGGTACATGTTATATTTATTGATATATCCTTGGAAATATAATTTATATATATTATTATTATTATTTGTAATACGTAATATATGTATACATTATATAAACACGCAAACAATAATTAATTTATATATTCCTCAGGATATATCAATAGAATACAATAAATATTTCAGGATTTATAAATTATTGTTATATATATAAACGAGAGACTGAAATAAAGGTATATATGTATAATAATATAAATTACTTAGATAACATTATCTTATCAAGAGATAACATAAATAATTCCAATAACGAATAACTCCAATAGTAAATAAACCATTTATTAATTAACTATTCCCTTGCTATTTTTATTTCATTGAAATTTTATTCGAACACATACCCAACACTGGTTCTTGTCGTCGAATGTGATCATCGCGGAAAGGTCTTGTCGCTTATACATCGGCATCGTATCGTATGCGAGAAACTCGGGACCGACGTTTTTAGCATGTAATATCTTCGATTACCAAAATACAAAATGAACAAAAAAAATTTTGAGAAAAGACCTAATCTCTATCGTTCAAAGTATCGCTCTAAATATATATATATCAGAAGAAATTACTATATTATCATGACAGTGATCATTATTATATATATATATATATATATATTTATTAATATTTCATATTTATTATATTGATATTTTTAATTAAATCGTATCTATTTCGATACACCGATGAAAGAGAGTTTAAAATGTTGAATTATGCAATTTATCGACGTTTAACATATTCTCTTACCATGGTCGTTCTACGATACACATATAATACATATTGTACAACTTTTTGGAAAAGGAACAAATCACAAATCTTTTTCGCATGTTCACAAAGAATTATAAATGGGATAAAATGAAATCTATTTCCAAACTTCGTCCTTTCTATAATCAGTTTTAATAAATGGATGCACTCCGTTTGTCTCTTTGAATTTTTATCGATGTACTGTTTCGATTTTTACGAATCATTACCAAGATCCTCTCTCTCCTCTTTCTCAGGTCAGGTGCCACAGTGAAACAACAGAACCAAAATGTCGAATACTTCCAAAAAAAAAAAAAAAAAAAAAAAAAAAAACAAAAAAAA